ACACTGTTCCGAGGTCTGCCAAAACTTGCAAACCAGTCTCCTCCTCTCCTGCAAATTGTCTGAAAATAATAATAATAACAATAATAATAATAATAATAATAATAATATACACCCTTATGTACATACACATACATACATACATACAAACACGCTTACATACATACACACACAAACAAACACACTTACACACACAAACATACAATCATAAACATACAATCACAAACATACAATCACAAACATACACACACAAACAAACACACTTACACACACACAAACAAACACACTTACACACACAAACATACAATCACACACACACACGTACTGGGGCCACAGCAATGGTTTCGACATTGTTGACAGTTGTGGGGCAGCCAAAGAGACCAATGTCAGCTGGAAAGGGAGGTTTCAGTCTGGGCTTACCCGCTTTTCCTTCGATCGACTCTATTAAACTCTGTATGAGTTGTGTGCGTGCGTGTGCGTGTGTGTGCGTGCGTTTGTGGACATTTAAAAAAATTCTCTCTGAAGAAATTAGAAAGTCACAAAGTGTACGAGTCATTGAGTCAATCTACCATACAAAAGGATTAAACATACATACAAACATACATACAAACAAACATACATACTTGCTTACATACAAACAAGCATACAAACATACAAACAAACAAACAAACATACAAACCGTTTCCTCCCCACAGACGTAGGCACCAGCACCTCTATGCAGGTAAACATCGAAATCGTAACCTGAACCACAGGCATTCTTTCCAATCAATCCAGCTTCATAAGCCTGTATGTATGTATGTATGTATGTATGTTTGTATGTATGTATGTTTGTATGTATGTTTGTATGTATGTATGTTTGTATGTATGTATGTATGTATGTATGTATGTATGTATGTATGTATGTATGTATGTATGTTTGTATGTATGTTTGTATGTATGTTTGTATGTATGTATGTATGTTTGTATGTATGTATGTTTGTTAAAACCAAATCATTGACGAATGACACCAAAAGCCAAGCGTCTGACTAAATTTATGTTTGTATGTATGTATGTATGTTTATATGTATGTATGTATGTATGTTTGTATGTATGTATGTTTGTATGTATGTATGTATGTATGTATGTATGTATGTATGTATGTATGTATGTTTGTATGTATGTATGTTTGTTTGTATGTTTGAAGCCTGTTTGTATATATGTTTGATTGTTTGTTGCTTCCGTATTTGTTTGTATGTTTGTTTGTTTTGTATGTATGTATGTTTGTTTGTTTGTAAGTTTGTATGCTTGTGTGTTTGTATGCTAGTTTGAAACAGCAAATGTAAAATGAATAAATGAACGAATGAATGAACGAACGAATGAATGTATGAACGAATGAATGAATGAATGAATGAATGTATGCATGAATGAATGAACAAACGAATGAACGAATTAACCAATAGAAAGACACAAACTTCTTTTATGGCCAGCTGAGTGTTTGAAGCTTCATTGTAAAATTCCCCTCTAATGTATATGTATGCTGGAAAAATATTTTTCATCATCATCATCACAATCGTCATCATCACTACCACCATCATCATCACAACCATCATCACCATCACCAGCATCATCATCATAACTAACCGGCTCTAGCCCCAATAGCCCGCCCGGCAATCAGACAGCCCTCGATGAGTTTGTGAGGGTCGTGGCGCAGGATTTCTCGATCCTTGCACGTCCCTGGCTCACCCTCGTCCCCATTCACCACTAAATACCTCGGCCTGATGTGAGTGAGTTGGGTTGGCGGGTGGTAACGTAATTAACATATACACATACACACGCATACACACGCACACACCAACCAATCCACTTCATGCCACAATCATACACATACACATAGAACTTAAACAAACATACATTCAGATACACACTCACACACACACGCACACACACACACACACACAAAAACCAACACACACGCCGACCTGCCATCGTTGGGCTTATTCATGAAGCTCCACTTCATGCCAGTGGGGAAGCCGGCACCACCTCGACCTCTCAGTCCGGATTTTTTGACCTCGCCCTGAATCCAGTCAGTCCCTTTCAGTAGGATTTCCTTGGTCTTGTACCAATCACCCTTTGTGAAATTTATGAAAAAATTTAATTAACCTTGTCGTTATGTTAATTATAAACATTATTATTATTATTGTTATTATTATTAATATTATAATTATTATGCACTTGTAACATCATCGAGCTTAGGAGGATCGTACATTTCATTAAAACTCAATTTTTATTAAACTTCATTTTATTTGTCATTTCATATTTCTTATTAATTTGAATTTTATTTTGTCGATTGAATAAATAAAATATGTTCACATTATTATTATTATTATTATTATTATCATCAAAAACATCAGCCCCATCACCATCATCATTTCTACCATCATTTCCACCATCATCAACGTCATCGTCATCATCATCATCATTCCTCCTCATCATTATCTCTCTCATCTCCCTCATCACCATCTCTCTCACCCCCTACCCTTTTTAAAGCGCCCTTAAGCCTCCAATCGTGTCGACCGTATAGATTAGTGAATACTCGATCCTCGTCTTTCAAATTTCCAAATTTCGTCTGCCATTTTCAAGCAAAAATAAATATTACTCATATTATAATTTTAAATTTTAATAATTCATGGTGAAGTTGGGTGATGTTCCAGAAGATTTATTTAAATTTTAGTTTCATGTGTCAACCAATCTATCAATCATTCATTCATTAAATCATTCATTAATTCATTCATTAATTCATTTAATTACTCATTGAATTATTCAGCCAACCAACCCACCAACCAACCAAACAATCAATCAATCATTACTTTGGCTGGGGGTGGTTTGGCCGCCTCAGTAGCAAAATTTGAAACGGCCTGCTGTACAGTTCTCACCCACTGAATACCAGCTCCTAATTAGTTAGTTTAGTTTCAGTTTAGAGAGTTAAGTTTAGATTTTAATTTCACTAATTAAGCCAAATTCTACTCTTAAACCATTTATTACAAACAGATTAGAATTTATTAGAGAGTGCTAGAGTCAAATTTTAGTTCTTCATTTATGTGTAAAATTAATTAAATTCTGTCTTTTCTTAGTTTATGGCTTTATGCATGGTGTTTTTCTTTTGGAATGGTTAATAAAAGAAAACAGTTTGCTACTGGAAAACTGGAACTTTATACCATACAATTGCAAAATGTATCCCTAAAAAATTTTCAAATTCCTAATCTAAACTAAGAACCCTCCACCAACTTAACTTACGTTGTTACTGTTACACTTGGGAAAAGCTAGTAAACACGCTCAGTTTTAAGCTATTTTGGACAAATAAAAAGTATAGTAAATTACCTATTTTTATGAAATAATAAATAATTTTAAATTTATAATTATATTTAGTAATAATTGTGGGTTGGTTAGTGTTGGGTTGTTGAGTTTTTATGTTAGAAGACAAGTGTTGGAAATGAATCCAAGGTCATTTTTAAAAAAATTAAATTTAATTTAACAAAAAAAATTAGAAATTTAATTATTTCGTATGATTACCGGTGCACCGGATTCTGTACGGAACCGATAGCATTTTAGATTAGTGAAATATTCGCGAAATAAATATCATTTAAAACTTTAATGTTATTAAGGTTCGACTAACAGCCAGACTACCACAAAGACGACATCTAGAGAAAAAAAAAGCCTCACTATCCAACATATCCCATATGGAAAAAGCTTAAAAACCGTTACAAAATTATAATTTAAGAATAGAATACTAGATTTTTAACATAAAATAACACCTCACACATTGCTTTCCTTTCAAAAAAATCTTATTAACGTAGAAACAAATACTTTTGACATAGTCCCATCAACAAAAAAAACATTTAAAACAGTTAACAAGGAAAGTAAATTTCAGTTGCGAAGAATGAAACTCCAAATAAATGTTAAATGATAATAAATTCTGATGAAATTTTCAAAGAGATTTGAAGTTCTGAAGTTCCCAGAGGCAGTTTGAGAGGGCTGATGACGACTCGGATGTACTCAGGGCAATCGAGGCTATTCGGCTTTCGTTCTTCTTCAACAAACTTTCGCAAAATAAATTATTTAAAAATTATTTAAAAATTATTTTATAATAAAATAACTATCGAAATACTTAATAATTATTGAAAGGTGTCTGTAATTTATCTTCAGCACAACTAATAAATTCATAATCTTATATCAAATACAGAAGCGTTAAAGATCTAATTTTTTTTTACTAGAAAGGTTCCAACGGTTACCTTCTACCAAGAGGGGAATATCTAGCTAAATTCCTGAGGACAAGTGCACTGGTCAGATGTACGTGCCTTGTTACCGGGTTCAATTCAGTTTCCTGTTCAAATTTTGAATATTAGCTCATTTTCAAACACTTTTTTCAAATAATAATAATAACGTGTCATTTATATAGCGTTTAATTCGAAGTTAGAAAGGCGCCTGGAATACGTGAGCCAGACAGAGACAGACAGACAGACAGACAAAAAAGCAAATGACAAGATTAACTAACATGTAGTTCGGTGAATGGAGGTTTAATACAAAACCTTCTGATGGCCTGCATAGCGGCATTTGGCGGGTATATCGTTGGGGGACCATTGTTTGGAGGTCCACTTAATATCGAACTATTCTGGTTCAAATGGCGCTCCTGTATGCGTGTGTGTGTGTATGTGTGTGTGTGTCTGTGTGTGTGTGTGTCTGTGTGTGTTAAAACCAAAACATGATGGATGACACTGAGCAGTCAAGCATCAAGTAACAAGTGGATTATGTATGTATAAAGGTTAAAGGTTAAAAGTTACTCTCTCTCTTTTGCGTTAACTTCAGAGGTTTCGACGACAAACACACACAGCGTATATCAATACGCGTGCAAACCACGCATCATACACATTGCATATGATAGGCGGGGATCTCTTTGTATTCGAACCCAGTCATTGCAATAGCAAGACCAGGAGCCTTTAACCATTGGGCCATCACGCCGCCCAATAAGTGTATGTATGTATGTATGTATGTTTGTATGTACGTATGTTTGTATGTACGTATGTTTGTATGTATGTATGTTTGTATGTACGTATGTTTGTATGTACGTATGTTTGTATGTATGTATGTTTGTATGTACGTATGTTTGTATGTACGTATGTTTGTATGTATGTATGTTTGTATGTATGTATGTTTGTATGTATGTTTGTATGTATGTATGTTTGTATGCACGCTAGAAGCCACACAACTGACGTTCAGATGAGATACAAAGGACCACTTCTTCCTTGGAGTGTTGTCGCAGATGCCGAGCCAGCGACAGACGTACGAGTCGTTGCTGTCAGGCTGTTGGAGATGTTGTTGAATGACATGCTGCTGAACATGGTAGGACGAGTCGAATGGTCTGTGTAATAATTTAGCTATAATTATAATAATTTAGTTATATTATTTAGTCATAATTATAATACAATTATAATATAATTATAATTAATATTTTAGTTAGTTTCTTTTCAATCTTGCTATTTTGTTATTAATAATACAATTATAATATAATTATAATTAATATTATACAATTATAATATAATTATAATTAATATTATAGTTAGTTTCTTTTCAATCTTGCTATTTTGTTATTAATAATACAATTATAATATAATTATAATTAATATTATACAATTATAATATAATTATAATTAATATTATAGTTAGTTTCTTTTCAACCTTGTTATTTTGCTATTAATATTAGTTATGATTTGATAGCTCTTGCGAAAACTGCTATGACGAATGCTATATTAAGTTTTCTCTTAATTATGAAAATAGTAATAATTTTCTCTTAATTATAAAAATAATAAAAATATTAATTTTCTCTTAATTATAAAAATAATAATAAGTTTAAAAAGTTTTTTCTTAATTATAAAAATAATAATAATAATAAATAATAATATAATTTCTAATGATAATAATTAATAATTTATTAATTATGATTTTAATTCATCATGTTGATGATGTTGTAATTAATAAAAATATTAAGGATGAAGAAATGACGTCACTGACTTGTTGCAACCAATCCACCTGCAGAAGATTCTATTGGTCACACTCATCTTCATCCTCTTCGCAGCGTCAGCGCCCCCTCCTGTGATTGGCTGATGACGCTTGTCTCCCGCTTGTAGGATTGGCTGAGTGGGAGGAGTCGGGATCTGATTGGTCAGCTGTGATTGCTTGATTAGCTGGGCTGCTAAGAAGTTTACGTTTGTCGTTGTTGATGTTGTTGTTGATTTTATTTCGACATTTGTTGCAATGTTAATGTGTTGTTGTTGTTGATTTTGTTGGTTGCCTAATAAAGCATTTAAATTGTTGGCTAGAAGTTGTTGTTGTTGTTGCTGCTGTTGTGTGCTGCTAAACATGGCTAAGCTGCTATTGATGTTGCTGTTGTTAGCTAAAAAGAGAGGCTGTTGTTGTTGTTGTATTGGTTGTTTAAGAGAAATAGGTGTTGTTGTTGATGCTGTCGTTGATGTTGTTGTTATCAGATGATCATTCAGCAGTGTGGGTAATTGATTAGTTTGTTGTTGTTGTTGCTGTAGTTGTTGTTGCTGAAGCTGTATTTGTTGCAGCTGCAGTTGTTGTTGTAGTTGTAGTTGCTGCAGCAACTGCTGTTGCTGCAGTAGCTGTTGCTGTAACTGCTGCTGCTGTTGACGTTGCTGGCTGATGAGTAATGCATTGCTTGCTTGCTGACTGTTGCTGATTGGCTGATTGACGTTCTGTTGAGAGCCAATTATTGGCTGATTAATAACTGCCTGATTGCTGACTGGCTGGCTAGCAGCCGACTGATTCATGATTGGCTGATTAATAGCTGGCTGATTAGCGATCGGTTGATTAGGAACTTGTTGATTGCTCATTGGCTGAATGGTAGTTTGTTGACTGACAGCTGATTGGTTGTTGGCTGGTTGATTGACATGCTGATGGTTATCTGGGACAATAGCAATACCAATATCCCTTGCAACGGCCAGCAAATCTTTATCCAAGCCGTCCAACAAATTGTCAGTTGTTGAAGTTGTTTGTTGTTGTTGTTGTTTTACATTAGAAACGTTGATGTTGATGTTGTTGATGTTGTTGTTGTTGATGTTGTTGTTGCTTGTGACATTGGAAACCGTTTTGCCCGACAAAGCGTTCTCAATAGATGGGAATTGTGATGTGTCTGCAAATTTGTTGTTGTGTTGTTGATGTTATTGATGTTGCTGTTGTTGATGTTGTTGTTTTTGATGTTGCTGATGATGTTGTTGTTGATGTTGTTGTTGATGTTGTTGTTGTGTTGTTGTTTTTGTTGTTGTTGATGTTGTTGTTAATGTTGTTGCTGATTATAAGTAATCAAATTAAATAAACATCTCATTCAACCAAATCGATAAAAATCCCGAAAAAACAAACCCAACCACACACGCACGCACTCACACACACACACACACACACACCAAACAGAAACACATTCCCATTTTCTACAGCAAGTCAAGAAGATAACTCACTCCTCAAGCCAGGATTCAATGTAGCTTGTACATTAGTGTTGTTGCAGTTGTTGTTGTTGATGTTATTCAGAATGTTGCTAATGTTGTTGTTGTTTGTGTTGTTGCTGATGATGTTGCCAAGAAACTTGTTGAGATTCTGTTGTTTTTTGACAACTCCATAGAACAAGAGGTCTGTGCTAACACTTGAACTCGCTGTGCATTTTGAACAAGGGAATGCGCACCTGTTGTCGTGTTTGTTGTCGAACTTGTTGTTGTTGTTGTTGATGATGATGTTGTTGTTGTTGTTGATGTTGTTGATGATGTTGTTGTTGAAGTTGTTGTTGTTGTTGTTGTTGTTGATGCTGTTTTTGATGTTGTTGTTGATGTTGTTGTTGATGATGTTGTTGTTGATGATGAACAACGGCAACAACAACAACAACAACAATAACAACATCAACAACTACGTCAACTAACTTGATACACTTCTCGAAACTGGCCGGGCTAACGATTTTCTGTAGGCCAAAGGTCGAACACTCTCCAACATATGCCCTATAAATCTCCATCTTGCTTACATAATTAATATTCAAATCGGCGTTTGAATATTCATACTGAGCCAGCAGCCAATTGCAGGCCACCATCTCGTTGTCGTTCAACTGAATGCTCAATTTTGATTGGCTGTTGGCATTCAAGGTTTCATCTGATTGGTTGAAGGAAAAAATTATAATGATGGCTATTTATAGCGATCTGAATAATATAAATAACAACAACACCAATAATAATAATAATAATAACAACAGTAATAAATAAATAAATTTAAAATTCTTTTACAGATTTAAAGAAACATACCTTTATTGTTGTCTGAGTTGCTTGCAGAAATTTTATTATTATTACTATTGTTATTGTTATTATTGTTGTTGTTGTTGTCGGCACATTGGACCACAAATGAAACAGGAACGCTGTTGTTGTTGTTGTTGATGTTGTTGTTGTTCGTGACCAGTCCAGATATCTGAAAGATAAACAACAACAACAACAACAATAACAACAACAACAACAACAACAACATCAACAATAACAACAGTAACAACAACAACAACAACAGTAACAACAACAACAACAACAGCAACAAAACGTCATCATCATCACAATCATCGTCCCAAAATTCAATCCCAGGAGATGATAACGAATAAAAAACGATGACACAAAAATTTCAAATAAAATTTTAAAATTCGACCTTCAACTTCTTCCTCGCCCCCGCCACGTCTTCGACATCATTATCAGGACCTCCGACGACAAAAGTAGCAGCTGTAGTAGCGGCAGTAGCGATAGCAGCAGTGATACTATTACTATTACCGTTAGCGACGGCGAAGACATTTTCAAGGTTTGAAGAAGTTTGTATTAAATTTTTATCCACATCCAGCGTTAAGAGGTCTATCAAAATGTCTGCGTGTGTGTGCGTGTGTGTGTACGTGTGTGTGTGTGTGTGTGTGTGTGTTGTTTATTATGATTCATGGTTATATTTGTGGTCAATCGATTGACATATCATTCAGCCAATCATCAACTAACCATACAACGAACCAATAAAAACCAACCAACCAACCAATAAAAACCAACCAACCAACCAATCATCCTTCAATCAACCATACAACCGACCAATAAAAACCAACCAACCAATTAACCAACCAACCAATCATCCTTCAATCATCAACCACACAACCAGCCAATAGAAAAAAAAACCAGCCAGCCAACCAACCGATTGATTTGTGGGTGCCAGCAATGTAGCTGCAGGTCACGGGACCAATCTCAGACAGCTGGTACAGAGCCTCCAAGGACGCATAGACAAGGTGAAGGTCATTCAACGTCAACCTGTCAATCACAACAACAACAACAATAATAATAACAATAATAATAATAATAATAACCTGTCGAAAAAAGCAGAGTAGGTTGCATCAGTTATGCAGTTACACAAGCAATCTTCATTGACGGACAGCTGAGACAGCTGGCATAGCATCTCGCTCCCTAATTATAATAATAATAATTATTATTATAATAATTATTATATTATTATTATTATTAATTACAATCGGTATAATTAATTGCCCATAACGGAGAACGAGAATACAAAATCAACAGTGGAAGCTGCATAGAGATGCCAGCCAACCTACCGTATGGATGTATGTGTATGTGTGTGTGTGCGTGTGTGTGCGTGCGTGTGTGCGTGTGTGTGGATATTTACATATATATGTAAATATATATGTAAATTCTCGATTTCCAGATCATTTCTTTTCATTGATACCATTTCTTCGCTTTGATTTGTTTTTTTGATTTGATGAAATAAAAAATGTCAAATATGTAAATATATATATATATATATATATATATATATATATATATATATATGTGCGTGTATGTGTATGTATATATATATATATATATATATATATATATGTGTGTGTGTGTGTGTGTGTGTGTGTGTGTGTGTGTGTGTGTGTGTGTGTCTTTGCTACCTCAGAGGAACGAACTAGAGGTTTAACGACTGACCTTTAACCTTTCGTTATGGGTTATTATAGTTATAATAATAATAATAATAATAATAATAATAATAATAATAATAATAATAATAATAATGATAATAATGATAATTACCCTTTATGATTTCATACTTATCAGAGGAGTGGAGACATTTGTGCATGGTGGTGGTGACCAGCTGGGTCATCTTGCAGTCCATGGGTTCAAGGGTCAACTGGACGATGAATGAATGAAATGTGCCAGATTTTAGAGATGAGAATGTGTGTGTGTGTGTGTGTGTATGTGAATGTTTGTGTGTTTGTGAATGTTTGTGTGTGTGTGTGTGTGTGTTTGTGAATGTTTGTGTGTGTGTGTGTGTGTGTTTGTGAATGTTTGTGTGTGTGTGTGTTTGTGAATGTTTGTGTGTGTGTGTATGTGAATGTTTGTGTGTGTGTGTGTGAATGATGGTATGTGTGTGTGTGTTTGTGAATGTTTGTGTGTGTGTTTGTGAATGTGTGTGTGTGTGTGTGTGTGTGTTTGTGAATGCTTGTGTGTGTGTTTGTGTTTTTGAATGGTTGTGTGTGTTTGTGTGTTTGTGTATGTGTGCGATAATGTTTTTAAAAACATGCCTGATGATCTTTAACACTAGAAGAAATGGCATGATTGATAGACCAAATGATGTACAATTGAATAAGTTTCGTTCTTCAAACCAAGGGTTAAGTATTCGAGACAAATATATAGAAGTTTTAATGTAAAAAGTCCACAGATAATGAACCTGTTTATGTAGCGTTAGAAATATCTACCCCTCTGGATCATAGCATTGCAATATGGCCCGGCTAGAAACTATGACTGATTTCGTTGCTTTCAAACTACAATTACTCGCATTTTATTGATTTTTTATTTCAAGTGTTTTTGAAAAAGATTTAATGTTCTAATCTGGATTTAAGTGTTTTATCTGTTGCTATTTTCTTTTAAATCAGTGTTTAACGTTCTTCGCCATTTTTAAGCTGAACTCTGACAGATGTAAAAACTTCTTCTTACCAATTATTGCTTATAATCTTTATTACCATTAAAGACGAACATTTAAATTTTTTAATAATCAGGAGATCCCATAAATCAGCATTGACTGCCAGGGAAACTCCTTTACATATATCTATCAATATAATTGGCTCCCAGACAATTGCACAGTCTGATCCACAAAGATTCGGCATAGTACTTGGGAGGGACCTAACTTTCGAAGCTGCCAGTCTGTGTGGTAGCGTGGTAGCAGCCAGTGACAAAAACGCCGTCAAAAACGCCAATGAGGCTCACCGCTACAACAATGAGGGGCTCAAGGAGGTTGCCTGTCCAGGTCAATGGAAAGTCGAACATCCGTAGGTCAAAGGCCAACTGAGACGCTTATAACTCGTTAGAATAATAATAATAATAATAATAACAACAACAATAATAATAATTAGGAACAGCGAGCATAATAAGAGAAATCCTCTCTTTGGGATCTAATTGAACCCCGGATTCGTCAAGGACTAGCTTTAAAAACCAGGCTGTGAAAACTGGGATAATAATAATAATAATAATAAATAATAATAGATAATAAATACAAATAATAACAGAAAATAATAACAAAAAACCTTGGGCGATAGGTAGACAAGAGCCTCCAAACTCGACTGCCTGACACTGCCATACTTACAGTGCACGCAGAGTAATAAAAATCTGTTGATTGTCGTTAATAATAATAATAAAAATAATAATTAAAATTATAATGTTAATTAAATTATGATGCTAATTAAACATATTTCACCGTTCTGCACTTAACTTCACAATGAGCAAAATGGTCTTAACCTTTAATATTATTTTATACAATTTTTAAAAAATTTTATCATTGCGCATTATTTAATCAACGTTAACTTATATATATATATTTGTATATTTTTATCATTGTCTGTTTTTTTATGGTGAAAAATAAAAGATGTCCCCATTAAGATGATGATGATGATGATAACCGTGATGGTGAAAATTATGTAAAAATGACGAAACGAAGAAAGAGTATACATGCATGCAGGTGAGATGAGCTGGGAGTTTCTTATTACAGATTCAAACAATTTTAAAATTGTGGTACACAAACACACATACACAAACAAACACATATACACAAACAAACACACAGACAAACACACACAAACAGACACAGACACAAACACACACAAACAAACACAGACACAAACACACACAGACAAACACACAAACACAAACAAACACACGCAAACAAACACACACACACAAGCACACGCAAACAAACACACACACAAACAAACAAACACAGACACACACACACAAACCTAAATAGTGGAATGCTACTACTTAGGACAGAGACATTTTCTTCGTCCACCAAGAAATTCCTAACAATATGCACCATCTAGAAAAGTGAAGATGACGACGACGATGATGATGATGATGATGGTGGTGGTGGTGGTGATATTAATGATGGGGATGATGATGATGGGGGTGATGATGATGGTGATGATAATGGTGGTGGCAAAGATGATGATGACGTTGATGATGATGATGACGATGCTGCAAACGGAGATGTTAAAATTTAACAATTATCATAACAATCATCATCACAAATATCGTCATCATCATCACCAACATCATCATCATCATCATCATTACCATCATCATCACCAACGTCATCATCATCATCATCACCAACGTCATCATCATCATCACCTGAGTAACACGCTGCCCTTCAGGATTCATCAGACCCATCTTCATTTCAAGCTTCAGAGAGGAATTATCCTCTCCCTCCTCATCATCATCATCATCGCCATCGTCATCATTATCATCACCGCCACGGCGATCGTTATCATCACTATTACCACAACCACCGCCAACAACAACAACAACACCCTCAACAACAACAACGCTGTTTCTATTTTTATGGTGAGAATGCGAAGATTTCTCTGTTAATGATGATTTGTTGTTGTTTTTGTTGTTGTTGATGTTGTTTTTGTTGTTGTTGTTGATGTTTTGATGTAACAATGATGATGATGATGATGTTGTTGTTGCTGTTGTAATAAAAATTATCAATTGTTAATTTAAAATCTAGAAATGACTTCACTGTCCAATCATTCATTCATTCATTCATTCATTCATTCATTCATTCATTCATTCATTCATTCAGTCCGATGTTCATTCAGTCCTTCGTTCACTCAGTCATTCAATCCTTCATTCATTCAGTCTTTCGTTCATTCATTCATTCTCATTCATCCAGTCCTTTATTCACTCCTTAATTCCTTCACTCGTTCATTCATTCCGTTATCAACTCACTCCTGATTAGGCTCTCGGGACAGAGCAAATCCTTCACCTCATCATCTTCGATCGTATCATTCCAAAACTATAACATTATTATTTGTAGTAGTAACAGTATAGTTATAGTTATAAGTGTAGTAGTAGTGGTAGTAGTAGTAATAGTAGCAGCAGCAGCAGCAGTAGTAGTAGTAGTAGTAGTAGTAGTAGTAGTAGTAGTAGTAGCAGCAGCGGTAGTAGTAGTAGTAGATTAAATATGAATATTAGCAATGAACGAATGAAAATCAACGAAACAGAAAATAATGAATGAATGAATGAATGAATGAATGAATGAATGAATGAATGAACGAATGAAAGAGAGAAGGAAAGAGAAAAGCACTAAGCAAGTATACCTTATAAAAATTTTTATTGGTATCTTTCTGGAACTCCCACATAACTGAGGTATGTCCTTAATGAATAAAATGAAAAATTATACATACCAACAAACAAACATACATACATACATGCATGCGTTCACACATACACACAAACATAGATACAAACAAACACACACACACACACACACACACACACATACATACATGCAAACAAACAACAATACATACATAAAACTCATGATAACCTTATTCAGTCAGTGAGACGCACACAAACACTCACAGACACACACACACAAACAAACAAACATACACAAACACACACACAAACATTCACAAAAGCACACACAAACACACATACCTACACACACACACACACAAACATTCACAAAAACACATACAAATACACACAAACAAACCTTGTTTATAAATGCCGACATGTGAAAGCAGTAACTCGACGATCCTCAAACTGCGGCCACCTCTCAGCGAATGCTTCGAATCGTTCGACAGCAGCAGACACAGATTCATCGCGAAGTCTATTTCATTCGGTAGGCCGGACATCAGCGATTGCTCCAGCGTATGGTAATTAATGTCAAGGACGTTGTTGTGGCTGCTGTCGTTGCCGCTGGTTGTGGCTACTGTAGCCACTGCAGACGCTGCTGATGGAATGTTGTCCTTGTACATGTCTTGGAAAAAAGATTTATATATATATATATTTATTTATTTATTTTTTTATTTATTCAATTTATTTATTTGTTAATTTTTTTATTTATTTATTTACAATAACAGGATTGAATAAAGTTTGTGTTATAACAATGGAGTTGTGTGTGGGAGTTTTTTAATAGTTCTGCCGTTCGGTTGGCTGGCTAGTGTGTTGTTTCATTGCTGAATGATTGAATGACTGGATGATTGGTTGGATGGTTGGTTGGATGGTTGGTTGGATGGTTGGTTGGATGATTGGTTGAATGATTGATTGATTAATTGAATAGGCTAAGTAACCTTAGCGTAAGTCAAGCAATTCGTCAAATAATTGATTAATTGTTGAAGACAATTTTCAACCAACCAATCAACCAATCAATCAACCAATCAACCCACCAATCAACCCACCAACCAACCAACCAACCAATTAATCAATCAATCAATCATCAATCAACCAATCAATCAACCAACCAACTAACCACACAGGGTATAAGGAATGGCACTTCCACTATTACTACCATTGACGTTCGACCCGCCACCAGCGCCACCACCACCACCACTTTGTTTTTTTCTGACGTCATCAATGACGTCACCACCGTTGTCGTCCTTGTGGTCGGTGACGTCTTGTCCGAGAAAGTAGAGCTTCTCAAAGTGGTAGAGGTACCTGTGTATAAGTGAGTGAGTGAGTGAGTGAGTGAGTGAGTGAGTGAGTGAGTGAGTGAGTGAGTGAGTGAGTGAGTGAATGAGTGAGTTTGTTTGTGTATGTCTGTGTGTGTGCACGTGTGTGTGTGTTTGTTTGTTTGTGTGTGTGTTTGTTTGTAAGATATGAAATATAAAACAACAACAACAACAACAACAACAACAACAACAAAGAACGAGCAGCAGCAACAAAACAATGAAACAAGAACAACAAAGAACAATAAATCTTCCACTGACTTCACGTAGATGTTCTTCAATGCGAAATCAGCATTCCCACAAGACTTTCCATTGAAGAGTTTCGTGGCCACTTCATCCCAATCGTCCGAGATGGTCACCTGAATGAATGGATGAATGAATGAATGAATGAATGAATGAATGAATGAATGAATGAATGAATGGATGAATAAATGAATGGATGTATGAATTAATAATCAAATAAATAAATTGATAAATTGATGAATGGATTGATGAAGAAACAAATGAATGAATAAAATTACTGAATGGATGAATGAATGACTGGATGACTGGATGAATGAATGAATGAATGAATGAATGAATGAATGAATGAATGAATGAATGAATGAATGAATGAATGAATGAATGAGTAAGCAATAATTTAATGAGTAAGCATTGATAAATAAATAGACAGTTTGAACGACGAAATAAATAACACACAAACAAATAAAATGAAAAATGAAATAAAAAAAAACTATTTAAAAATACTTCCTGTTATACTTACTTTTTCCCAGCCGCCATATTTAGTGACGATGGTGTATAGTGAATACAGATCTAATCTCTTTCCACCCAGAAAGGGGTACTTTATGATGCTGCATCTTGAAATGTAAGTTAGATTAGATCAATACGCTCGAGATAAATGATAATCAAAAGAAGGTAGAAGCGCAAGTCAATGTTCTCTTGTAATAAATAAAAAAATACTTGAAATGTAAGCGAGATTAGATTGATATTCTACAATAATAATTAACAGAAGGTAAATTAATAAAGTGGAAATCAATTTAAATTTAATTCATACTATGCAATAATAATCACAAAACAATACAATTATAAGATGAATAAATAATTGAAAGAAGATTAATATTCCTTTAAAATTAAATTTTAAAATGACATCTCTTGAAATGTAAGTTAATAAATAAGTTAATTAATAAATTAATAATAAGATTAATAAATTCCAATATGAACTATAAAAAAGAAGACTAAAAGGCATTTGAATATTAATGTAATGTAAGTCTATCTAATTAAATCAGGGGTGGGCAAACTACGGCCCGCGGGCCACATGCGGCCCGCAAAGCTATTTTATGTGGCCCGCCCACGTGACCTTGCTCGCTTAATAAAAGGTCGTCAACCAGACATTATGACCAAAAAAGGAGCCACAAATCTTGAAAAATTCTCCCCGGGTCAAAAAAATTTGCTATTTAAGTACATATGCGGCCCTTCAAAAATAAAATTGTTCTCAATGTGGCCCTCACAGCAAAAAGTTTGCCCACCCCTGAATTAAATTAATGTCTTATTGTAAAAATTTAAAAAAATATATAGAATTATTAATGTTCTAATTATGACATAATTATACAGTAACAATAATAATTATTATTATAATTTTTAACCCTTTGGAGATATGGAATTGGGTCAACTCCTTGTCAAACCTCTCAACTGTGTTTAGGTATGAGTACCTGGATAATGATGTTGTTGTCGACGTTGTAGTTGTTGTTGTTGTGTTGCTCAGTTGTTGGGCTAGTTTGTTGTTATTGTTGTTCTCTACGTATACAGGCATTTTAAGTTACTGGACTATAAAAAAAATATTATGCATATTTATTAGTTGATTATACAATTGTGAAAACAAATTAAATTTTTTAATTTTCTAAAATTTTAGTAAAAAACGTAGATTAAATTTCAATTTGATTTTACTCTGCATTAATTTTCAATAATCGGCAATTTTTTTAACCAGCACTCCCTGCACAACTCTTCTAATAATATAATCTCTAATCTATTGATTCTATTAATCTATTCTATTGCTATTCGATCATAATCCGCCATATTCACTAATCAAACAACTAATCAAACCGAAAACATCCAATTTCAAAATTTAAACATTAATTTCACTTTGCCCCATTTTTTAATGCAAAAATCTGAAATCATCGCCCCACATTGAACTAACCTTTTACGGAGATTAGTAAAAAACAAAAAATTCCTAATGACTAAAAGTGAATTTTTGTAAAAACACAATGTATATACAACGTATACAAAGTACAGCAATATATGGAAAGCTAAACTCATTTTAACAACTCCACAAAAAACTACCAAACCCAACTTTAAAACACTTCCATGCGTGAACCAAATTAATTAAATTTGAACAAAACTTGAAACTTTTATTCTAAATATATCTGACTTGGAACATTTAAAAACACACACGCGCAAACTCGAAACCAGACAAATGGATAGTAAATCCTCTCTCTATTTATAATAATAATATCATATCATAATGTATCTACAACTGAAGCACACATATACAAACAGACATACACATACACACACATACATACATACATACAGTGAAAAGTTCTGGTCTCCTAGTAATCTATTATTGATATTCTGCTGAATAATTGTTTCAATTCAATTCAATACTTACATACACACATACACAACTACACACGCACAAAGCTACACAGACGAACTCTCTACACAAAATTTATTAAGCTTGAGTAAGTTTGCTTTGCTAAAGAACCAAAATAGGCAATGAAAATACGTTACATAGTTAGGACGATAATCAACAAAGCGAAGTCAATCAATCAATCAAACGATCAATCAGTCGATCAATCAACTTGCCAATCGATAGAGATCGGTGATAAACTAAATTGAAAATAAATAAACACACACACGCACGCACTTTCACACACACGCACACACCCACACATACACACGCTCACACACACAAGCACAAAAACTCAAATGTCGCAAAAGTTAATTTTTCAAAATTAACGGTAGTAGTAACGTGGAAAAGTAATAATAATAATAATAATAAATAAAAATAATAATTAATAATAATAAATAATAATAATAATCTTAACCAGCATCATCAGAACCAATCAATTATCTATTGTTATAATTTTCATTAGTCTTAGTTTAATTACTTTATTTATTCAATCCTTCATTAATCCATCCATTCTATCACTCATTCACTCAGTCGTTCAATCAATCATTCTTTCATTCATTCATTTGTTTGTTTGTTTGTTTGTAATACAGTAATCAAATCAGAATATAAATTAAACTATGGTGTTAAAATCGATTAGCTAATCAATCAATCACTCAATCAATCAATCAATCACTCAATCAATCACTTAATCGGCCAATTATTCAATCATTCAATCAATCAATCAATCATTTATTCATTCAATCAATCAAACAATCAACCAATCGATCAGTTAATGACACAGCTTTAATTAATTAGATCAACGAATTAACCAATGGATGAATAGTGTCAAACGACGCCAACAAATCATTGAATAGCATTTAATTAGGTCAACCAACCAACTAATGAAATTTAATTTGGTCAACCAGTGATTGAATAGCGCTTAATTAGGTCAGCCAATCAGGTCATCATCTCTTGTTGTTAGCGTAACTGACGTTATGCAGTGGCCTGGACTTGAAGTTGTTGGCTGCTTGGGTCTGTAGCTCGTACGCTAAAGGATGGATCTTGAAACCATATAACCTATTTGTATGTGTGTGTGTTTGTATTTGTGTGAGTTTGTGTGCGTGTGCGCGCGCGTTTGTATGTGAGTGCGTTTGTTTGTATGTTTGTATATGTGTGTGTGTGTGTGTGTGTGTGTTTGTATGTTTGCATGCATGTATGTATTTATTTCTATGTAAGCAAAAGATAATTATGAGATAGAGAACTCTCAAGAATTAATAACGAGAATTTAAATTTTGAAAATGAAAAAACTTGAAGCAAATAAAACAGAGCAAACTAACGAACGAACGAACGAACTGAACACGAGTGAACAGTACGAACATAAAAACAAACTTGACCCACAGCAAGAAACACACACACACACGCGCGCACACACACACACACACCCAGAGTTAGGCTGGCTCAAAGGTGTGACTGGTAACTTAATAGCTCTATCTACTTTCTTTTTACACTGCCTGCAATTGTGATGTGTGACTAATGTGTCACTATTGCCTATCCTAACTTTAGAAACCTGAGAGTTGCCTAGTGTGTGGGAACGCATTCTTTTGAAACCCACACACACACACGCACGCACGCACACACACACGCACGCACACAGATCAACAAACGAACCTCGAAACAAACTGATTGGTAGGTCGTTTGGGCCTGTATTCCGGATGAACCATGAAGAGCATGTGAGGGAAGCCCGTGCCAAAGTAAGCCCCGTCTGTGTGGTGGTGCCTGGACGACTTGGGCACAAACACGTCCTGGCATTTCGGACAGTAGAGTTTGACCATCGACTCTCCGGGTACATCCGATAGACCTGTTTTGATTGATGCGGTGGAGTTGCTGTCTGACTGTCACCAATCAATAATTCATTCAACCATTCATTCAATCAACCAATAACTCTTTCATTCATTCTATCAATCATTTTTTCGTTCATTCAATCAATCAATCATTCATTCGATCATTCATTTATTCACTCGTGAAAGATGCACTGACCGCATTCTCCGTCAACAACATCATCAACGAGGTAATCATCCGCCTCATTAAAAACATGGTGCGGTGAATGGATGGATGGATGAGAAAAAGAAAGACATCACCTCAGCCAACATTACCATCATCATCAATCCACATCATAATCATCATCATCAATCCACATTATCATCATCACCATCAAACCACATCATCATCACCATTATCATCATCAAACCATATCATCATCATCATCATCAACAACCAAAGCATCATCATCATCATGACCAATGAACTGACCAATAGGAAGTGTCGGCTGATTCTCGCAATAAACTCTTGGGCAGTATCCAAACTCGCCTTGCTGCCATTTCTCGATCTAGAAGAGAGAGAGAGACATTGAAAAGAGAGAGAGATAGAAATTAATCAAAAATAATTTTTTTCGTATTTACAATTAAATATGAATAAATAAAAGATGATAATTTATGAATAAGTATAGATGGAATAAGAGATAAATAAAGGAGAGATGGGGAGAAGAAGAAAGAGAAAGAGAGAGAGAGAGAGAGGGAGAAAGAGAGAAGGGACGAACCATCTGTGCGATTCCCCTGTTGGTCATGATGTAACGAGCGTGGATCAGGCCGTACAGCATCTCCGCCGCTTGCTCGATCAGATCACTCTGGTTGGGGTTGTCGTCCAGATTGTCTTCTGTGATTGGTTGTTTGGTTGATTGATTGATTGGGTTATATGATTGGTTGGGTTATATGATTGGTTGTCTGAAAGCTTTAAAAGAATTAATAATGGAAATATATCATGAAGTGAATAAATCCAAATGGACAAAAAAATATGAGTGAATGAATGAATGAGTAAATGAATGAATAAATGAATGAATGAATGAATAAAGGAAGGAAGGAATGAACCAGGTTCAAGGTCTAGAATCATGTCAATTGCCTGCCTATAGTGAGGTACCTGCTCATTCAAGCCGGTCAGGTTGAATTTGTCCTGAATATAATCCTCGTCCACCTACAAATATAAAATGTTATAAAAAATAATTTAAAAAAATATTATAAAAATAATAAATTAATAAATTATTTATATCTACTGGGAATGCTAATCAGCTGCTACTACTACTACTATTACTACTACTACTACTACTACTACTACAGCTACTACTACTACTAGTTCTAATTAACATCTATAAAATCACAAGTATGGCAAAAATTAACATCAGAATGAGAAAATAATTAAATTAGACACATTAAAACTATAAAATTAGATTTACTAAAAAAATTTTCTATGGCAACCATTAGTTAATTATGCTAATTAGTGTGGCTAACAAAAGTTTAAATTATACTAATTAGTATGACACTCTTTGTCATATAAAAAACTATATTCAACCAAACAAACAAATGAACAGCCAACAAATTATTTAACCAGCCGACCAAACAACCAGCCAACCAACCAACCAGCCAGCCAAACAACCAAACAATCAGCCAGCCAACCAACCAATCAAACAAACAACCAGCCAACCAACCAACCAACCAATCAACCTCGCAAAAGAATTCATTCCCTCTTAGTCCGCAGAACCAGGAGATCCATGAAACTTCTTCAGAGCTACTCATTGTCACTGATTAAAAAAAATTATTCATTATTTAAGTAAAAAATATTTATAAAATTAGTTAATTAATTAATTAATTTACTAAATTTTAAATGTTTTTCTAAATTAAACATTAAAAAAAGTTAGCTTGTCAGTTTTATTTGAAATTTAGCAATGTATAAATTATAAAATAAAATAAATAAATAAATAAATAGAAAATAAAAGAACTAAAAAAAATTATTAAAAAACTATGAAATTTTTCGGCAGCGACACCTATGACTAATTAGAATATACTTTTCACTAAACACTAATTCATTTTACTATTATAAAGTAGTCAGATTTGTGTTATTGTGTTGGAAGTTGCAAGTGTGGTGAACGGTTCCCACGAACCTCCCCATATTTTGGCGACATTTTTTAACAAAAATTATTAGCCGAAAACAAAACTAACACAAAATTAAACAATATTTTCACTAATAAATGACAAAAAAAGTAAAATTAGGCGAGAAAATTAAGTAAAACTCACCTAAAAAAAATTCCAAGCGATCAACGTTAGGAAAGTTGGCAGTTTTTGTATAATAATGTGAATTAGCAATCGGGCAGCTGGTTTATTATTATTTTAATTTAATAATTAATGTAATTTTAACACTAAAATTTTGCTATAATTTAAAGTGAATTATTAGATTTAGTACAGAAATTTTTTATTTTCATACAAAACGTGTTTGTTTTTCATTATATTACACCCAATTACAATATCAAACTTTTAGGAATTGAACTATAGTGCATGATTCATGTAACCTTTCCATTTTTTCATATTTTGAAGTGATATTGTTACCAAGAAGTAAGTTTGACGTCATTTTTACTATTTTCAACATGAAATTTATAACCGAAAAATCACAATATGGAAATACCAGTTTAAAATATTCTGAACGAACGAATGAATGAATTAGAATTAATAATAATTATGAGATAATTGTGAAGAAGAACGATAGTAGATATTTTAATTAAAAGCAAATTTGTTAACATCAACAACATTAAAATCCAATACAGCAATTAGCATAGTGACAACATCCACATGCAGTCGTGGTGGCCGAGTGGTTATGGCGTTTGACTCGAAATCAAATGGGATCTTCCCGCACAGGTTCGAATCCTGTTCACGACGTCAAATTTTTAACATGGCCGGCGAGATTGTGTAATGGTAAGCGTTCCTGTCACTAATTTTGCAAAAACCGGGTTTGAACGCAAGATGAATGAACGATGAATGAACGAAGAAATGAGTGACTAAATGAATGAAAGATTTGAAATTTGCATCTAAATCTATATATCGAAGAACCTAACTCACACGTGTGTTAGGTTTGTCTCGAGTTTTTAGTTCTTTTAAGTTTTATTCTGTATGTTTGTTTTGTGTGTGTGTGTGTGTGTGTGTGTGTGCGTGTGCATAGGATACATTCGCAACTGCAAAAAATATACAATTACACAAACAAACGGACAAACGAACAAAAGTTTGAACAAACAAACGAACGAACAAATAGACAAACACTTGAAGACACTCTGACAACTCTCAGGAACCAAGATCACCCAGAACCAACAGTAGGGGAACATTTAAAACACCATTTGAAAGCAACAAGAAACATGGGAGAGGTCTTTTCAATAAACCGTTGGAAATGGGTGAAATACCATCAGCCTGGAAAGACGTCATATCATAGTACCACTCCCTATTTGTTTAATTTTGTTTTACTGCCTTGCATGTTGTTACAGATTCTGCGTCTGTCAGATCCTGATTTTAAAGAATAATAAAAAAAAACTCCCATTCTTCAAGAGAGGAGTTAGTTGCGATCCAGAAAATTATAGACTAATTAGCCTTACAAGCATTGCATGCAAAAGTACTAAAAAGAATAATTGTGAGAAAATATTGATAATTGTGAACCACTAGAAAAAAAATGATATCATATACAAGAGCCAACATGGATTTATGGATGGGCGTTCGTGCCTAACAAACTTGCTTGACTTTTTTGAAGAGGTTTATGAATATTTGAACTAAAAGAAAGCAGTGGATATTGTGTACCAGGATTTTGCTAAGGCTTTCGATAAGGTACAGCTTAAACGTTTGGTCTTAAAATTGGAGACAAACGAAATCACAGGAAACACACTCAAGTGGATTTCTAACTGGTTACAAGATAGACGGCAAAAAGTTGGTACTGGAGGATGTTTCTCAAACTGGAGCAATGTTACAACTGGGGGTCCGTATTAGGACCGTTGCTATGTGTAATATACGTCTATGTGTGATCTAGGAATTGTTTAAAATTTCAGATTTGCAGATAAAACTAAATTACGTGCCCTTGTAGAAAATAATGAAGATATTGAAATTCTAGCATGAGATTTGCAGAAAATATTCAAATAGGCAGAGGATTGGCAGATGGTATTCAAGACCGACAAATGTGCAGTCATGCATATGGGAGCGAACAACAAGGAAAACGTATTCAAACTTGGAAACACGCCACTAAATAATGTAGAAGAAGGAAAGGATCTAAGGCATCGAGGCAGCTAAAAGTGCAAACAGGGCTCTGGGTATGATAAAAGTAACAGTAAAAAGCAGAGATATGATCGTCACATTGAACCGATATAAAGCATTAGTTCGACCTAAGTTGAAGTACTGTGTTTAGCTTTGGAAACAAGATTTACAAAATGACAACGATATGCTCGAGAATATTCAAAGGAGTGCTACGAGAATGATGAAGGAGTGTCGCGGTATGCCACATGAAGACAGATTAAAAGTTTGTGGATAGACAACATTAGAAACAAAAGAAGAACAAGAGGAGGTTTAATACAGGCATACAAAATCATCACTATGAAGGAGAATTTGTAATCAGCGAAATTTTTAGAGCTTAAGACGAACAGTAAAACAAGGGGGTATAAATATAAGATCTTTAAAAATGCACAGAAACAACTAATAACTTTAAAGCAAGCATGGCAAAAGTGGGATGTTAAAAAAATTCTCAGGGTGATCCTGTCTTGTCGGTCCTGTCAGAGTGGACTTAGTCTTCTACAATCACTATAAAAAATCCTTGGTATGTTAAGAGGAAAAGTGGGATTTTCTGAAATTGTCTTCCACCTCCTTCTTCTTACCTGAAGTAAATCAAGTCTTACGATCCGTTTAAAAGTCAGTTACAAACTTTTCTGCCTGTTCTTCTTAGTCTGCTTTGAACTATCACTCTCTTTTATGAGATTATTTTAATTTTAGTTTAAGTTTTTACATCATCATGAAAAATTATTTTCTAAACTAAATTTTCTCATTTTGACCCAATCATCTTGAAGTAGATCATTCATTTCTCGTTCCAGCTAAATGAATGGACATGATAATTATTATACCAGTTATAATTAATTTTTAATTTAATATTTAATTTAATATTAAATTTTTAATTTTTTTTTAATAATGAATTGTAATTTCGTTTTATCTAGTTATTTTTCAAATTGGTTTCATTTGAATTTCAGAGTACCTTGAATAGGGATGTACCCAATTTCTTATTTTATGAAATAAAATTGTTCTAAAATAAAAAAACGCTTTCATTTATATTTCCACAAACATTCAAAGAGTTCCCGAACTACATGACTGCCAATCAAAGATTAAGTCACGCCTCTTTTTGGGAAATTTAAAAATGCTGCAATCTTATTGGCTGAATGGTACTCAATCATTTGATCGTCCATAATCATACATACATACATGTATGTATGTATGTATGTATGTATGTATGTATGTATGTATGTATGTATGTATGTATGTATGATGTATGTATGTATGTGTGTTTGTATATATGTGTGTATGTATTCTCAGTGACGTAACATCTTCATTTAGTGACGTCACTTTTGATATGATGTGACGTCAATACCGTGTCGTGATCTGTGTATCTTTGTATCGTGATTTTTAGTATCTTTGTATTAGGATTGTATTTTAGCATATGCATGTATGTATATATATATATATATGTATGTATATATGTATGTATGTATATATGTATGTATGTATGTTTGTTTGTTTTATAATTGTATATATTGGCATGTTTGCTTTGTTATTAGTATCATAAATAAACATTGGTATGTATGTTTGCATCTTCAGTATCATGATTGTATTAACGCATGTATCATTTCATTTTCGGTGAATTAATTGTGAATATGTTTGTATCTATAATATCCCAGTGGTATTGTATCTTTCTAGTATCATGATCGTAAATCGGCTTATATGGTCTGAAATTTTTACAAGGTTCTTTTGTGTGGAAGATAAAATTTTCAAAAACTTTTCGAAATAATTTTATGTTATAACGCTGCTAACATCAACAACAACAACATCAACAACAACAGCCTCAGCAGCAACAACAACAACAACATTTTCAACATCAACAACAACAAAACAACAACAATAAACATCATCATAATCATTTTAATCGTTTTAATCGTCATCGTCGTCGTCATCAACAAAAAGCTCGATTCAAAAATGGTTAAAAAACCTACCAACAACAACAACAGCAACAACATCAACAACAACAGCAACAACATCAACAACAACAACATTGATGACACAGACAACTCGCTCGACGAAGAAAAATTATTGGCCATTGGAAAGTCCTTTTACAGTGACGTTTACAATCTGGACTGCAACAACACAGCAGACATAGATGACGTCATCATCAACAACAACAACAACGATATTGAAAACATCAACCCAACAACAACAACAACAACGTCACAGCAATGTCGTTGTGGGAGTTGTGGCGAGCCGATCTTCGAAGAGCATCTTCTAAAGGTTGGAGGTTTCAATCAACCATGGCATGTTTCCTGCTTGAAGTGCTGTGTTTGCCAGCAGCTGCTAGCCGACGATGAGGCCTGCTACTGCAGAGCCAACAACATCTACTGCAAAGACGACTACTCTAACCACAGGCTTGTTATTGTGGTTGTTGTCGCAGCTTCTCTGACGACATTGTTATTGTAGTTGTTGTGGCTGCTGCTTCTGTGACGACATTGTTATTGAAGTAGTTGTCGCTGCTTCTGTGACGACATTGTTATTGTAGTTGTTGTCGCTGCTTCTGTGACGATATTGTTATTGCAGTTGTTGTGGCTGCTTCTGTGACGACATTGTTATTGCAGTTGTTGTGGCTTCTGTGACGACATTGTTATTGCAGTTGTTGTCGCTGCTTCTGTGACGACATTGTTATTGCAGTTGTTGTCGCTGCTTCTGTGACGACATTGTTATTGCAGTTGTTGTCGCTGCTTCTGTGACGACATTGTTATTGCAGTTGTTGTCGCTGCTTCTGTGACTTCATTGTTATTGTAGTTGTTGTCGCTGCTTCTGTGACTTCATTGTTATTGTAGTTGTTGTGGCCAACAACATCAACTGCAGACTCATGTCTTCCCGGTTCTAAGCAGTGTTGCTATTTACAGGAATATTTATTATTTTAGTTTCTAGACACGTGTCTAGTTATTATGACTATAATTTAATCATAATAATAATAATTATTATTATAAATAAAAATAATATTTATTTGACAGAGTGAATTAAACTGATAGTTTGTTACTAGATATGTACTGCTCAATCTTCTAAGCATGGAAATGTATAATTTGGCAACGGAGATACAAAATTTCTGAGATATAGTATCATAAGCAGAGGTTTTTGAGATATAGGATCATGTACAGAGGTTTTTGAGATATAGTATCCTGGACAGAAGTTTTTCAGATATAGTATCCAGGACAGAGGTTTTTGAGATATAGGATCATGAACAGAGGTTTTTGAGATATAGTATCCTGGACAGAAGTTTTTCAGATATAGTATCCAGGACAGAGGTTTTTGAGATATAGGATCATGAACAGAGGTTTTTGAGATATAGTATCCTGGACAGAAGTTTTTCAGATATAGTATCCTGGACAGAAGTTTTTGAGATATAGTATCTTGAATTGACCGAACAGTTACCATTGTGTATCCCTTCGACTTCATTATTATAAGTTCGATTGAAATATGAGTTTGAATATGATATTTTCAAGATTGAAAATTTTTCAAATTTTGGCAACCGTGCTGAAGTGATTGTTGTAATCGTAGATCAGTCTTTGCTGTTGTTGTTGAAGTTGTTGTTGCTGTGTTTGTTGTTATTGTTGCTGTTGTTGTTGTGGTTCCCGATGATGTTGTTGTTGTTGTTTTCAACTAAAAATACATACTACTAAATATAGTAGTAATAGTAGTAAGGTACCAAAAATCATAAATAAAATCAAAACATCTAAAAGTGGAATTAGCATAAATAGGCAAAGAAACAAGATGAAATGGAATAAACAAAGAAAAAAGAATAAATGAAATCATAAATTGTTGCACCGAGCGTAAAATTTTTTACACGCCCCCTCTGTATGTTTGTTTGTTTGTTTGTATGTTTGTTTGTATGTTTGTTACAATGTTTGTTTGTTTGTATGTTTGTTTGTTGAATGT